TGGCCCCCTAATCTTCCCCATTCTAGCGTGTAAGTTTCAACATTTTCCCATCAGCAGTTTTCCAGGAAAACCTTAAAATGTGAGAGAGTGCATTTTCATTTTATTTAGTTTTTAAACGTTAATTTTCATGAATTTTTCTTGTTACTGGTTGTTACTGGATTGAATTGGAATTTTAGCTAAATCAGCACCTAATCTTTCTCTTTTTACCCTGTAAGTTTCAACATTATCCTGTTAGCAGTTTTCCAGAAAAACTTTAAACTGAGACAAGGTGCATTTTTATTTTATCTAGTTTTTAAAGGTTAATTTTCAAGAATTTTTCTTGTTACTGGTTTTCACTGGATTGAATTGAAACTTTAGCTAAATCAGCTTCTAATCTTTCTCTTTTCACTCTATGGGTTTCACCATTCTCACATTAGAAGTTTTCCAGAAAAAGCGTAAACTGTGACAAGGTGCATTTTCATTTTATTTAGTTTTTAAAGGTTAATTTTCAAGACTTTTTCTTGTTACTGGGTTCCATTGGATTTAATTGAAATTTTAGCTGAATCAGCTTCTAATTTTTCTCTTTTCACCCTGTAAGTTTCAAAATTCTCATATTATCAGTTTTCCAGGAAAAGCGTAAACTGTTACAAAATGCATTTTAAATTTATTTATTTTTCAAAAGTTAATTTTCAAGAATTTTTCTTGTTACTGGTTTTCACTGGATTGAATTGAAACTTTAGCTTAATCAGCACCTAATCTTTAATCTAACCTTTTCACCCTGTAAATTTCAACATTCTCTCATTAACAGTTTTCCAGGAAAACTTTAAACTGTGACAAGGTGCATTTTCATTTTATTTAATTTTTAAAGGGTAATTTTCAAGACTTTTTCTTGTTACTGGGTTTCACTGGATTAAATTGAAATTTTAGCTGAATCAGCTTCTAATTTTTCTCTTTTCACCCTGTAAGATTCAAAATTCTCCCATTATCAGTTTTCCAGGAAAAGCGTAAACTGTTACAAAATGCATTTTAAATTTATTTATTTTTCAAAAGTTAATTTTCAAGAATTTTTCTTTTTACTGGTTTTCACTGGATTGAATTAAAACTTTAGCTGAACCAGCACCTAATCTTCCGCTTTTCACCCTGTAAGTTTCAACATTCTCCCATTAGCAGTTTTCCAGAAAAACTTTGAACTGTGACAAGGTGCATTTTCATTTTAGTTTTTAAAAGTTAATTTTCCAGAATTTTTCTTGTTACTGGTTTCCACTGGATTGAATTGAAATTTTAACTCAATCAGCTGCTTATGGTTGCAAGAAGGGATTATCGAAGAGGATATTTTCTACCATATCATCCAGTTGTTGAGTTCTCAAGTACGACAACAAAGTGTTTGATGCTACAGCCTACAGCACATGAAAAAGAACACCCACCGCTCAACCAGTGTTTGGATAAGGGTGTAAACCTAATTGAACTGATACCAGCGGTATTGCAACGATTCACAATACACAAAATCTGTGATAATGCAGATATTAGAAAAGTATTCTTGTAAATTGGTCTTGCTATGTCAGACAGGAATTTTTCGAAGTTCATTTGGTGCGTTGCTCTCAATTAAAATATAAAAATTTTCCGACATGCTAGAGCAGTTTTTGCGATTATATGCAGTCCCTTTTTACTCGGAGCAGTACTAGATTATCATTTACTGGGAGTGGGGGGGGGGGGGGGGGGGGGTGGGAGTATTCTTACCAAGGAAAATCAAATGACGTTGCGGAATGTGGCTCTCCAGTTCTGGGGCTTTTATGAAACAAAAATTTGAAGTTTCCACGGATTGGGTCAAGCATCTCAAGAGAATAATTTTATCTACTGCTCATAAATTGTACGATTCAATTGGTTTTTCTAGTCCAGCTGCATTATATCCCAAGTTATTGCTTTAGAAGATTTGGGAGTTGAAGTTAGGCTAAGATACTAAAGTAGGAGATGAAGTTGGACTCAATTTTCTCAGGTGGATGCGTGAAATTTCTTACTTAGTACAGATGAAGATTCCTAGATGGTTTTTCAATATTGAAAACGCTGAGGGTCGCAGTCTGCATGTTTTCTGTGACGCCAGTAAAGAAGCATATGCATATATTTTTATAGATCAGAAACCGATGGAATGGTTTTCGTATCTCTGGTTCAAGCTGAGTCGCCCAGTATACCAAAACTAGAATTGCTAGCAGCGACGGTTGGTGCCAGGCTTTCTCAGGTTGTCTTAGATGATTTTGACTTTCCTAAGTGTTATTTTTTGTTTTGTCTTGGATCAAACGGGAGGAAAAGTGGAAACCCTTTGTATGGAATCGTTTCTAGGAAATTCAACGACTGACTGATGAGGTCCACTGGTTTCTTGTAGCTGGATATGAAAATCCGTGCATGTTGCGATTAATTACATTCATATTTTTTATTTTTTTTTTAGCTTTTAATATTCAGTTTTTCCATTTAACTTTTTCTTTTTTTTGGTTATGTTGTTGTGAATGTCTGTTTTACTATTGCTGCTGTCGCCTGTTGTGGAAAGGGGTTGAGGGCTAGTTTGTTTTTCTTCAGGGAAAGTTTTGCCTTCCCTGAAAAATAACCAAAATTTGTATTTTTGATTTATTGATTACCGCGCGCACCGCTCCGCTCCGCTATGTAGTTATCTTAAGTTTTCTCTCATACGAGCTGCTCAACTTCTGTTCAAGTGATTTTTCTTGTCCGTTGGGGGAAATCAATTGGACAGGCTGCTGTGTACCACCTTATTGACACAGGCTTGTAGCAGGAGTTAAAGTCGGGTGGTTCTTTGAGATTAGCGGTTAATTGAGATAATTGCATTCCTAGGTGTGTTCGTCCGCACACTGATTTCTTTTCTATCCCTTCTTGATTGAGTCTTATTACGGATAACGTGTATATGGCAACTGATCCCCGTTATATGCAAGGGATGAAAAGTCTCTCTGACTTCCTTTTTGGGAACTCCGCCCAGAACTAAATACATTAAGTATAAATTGGCGCTTCAATAAAAATCACTGTTAGGTCTTTCCTGACAGTTTCTTCTGTGATGTGCGTTCTTACTTTTTCTTTAGTTTTAAGAAAGAGATTGGCGAGTCTCAAAAAGCATAGCAGAACAGACACTCAACCAGCAACATTTCCTTTTTTTACAGTAATCTTCTTCTTATTACAAGTGCTAGAGTGATTCCTCGATTCAGGTACTGAAAATCTATGATTTGTGATTCAATTGTTCAAATTTAAGTAAAATCTGTTTTTTTTTAAAGATAAAAGTCAAACTGACATTATGTTGGCAATACAATGTAAAATTGTCAATGCTTTCAAATTTTTTATGTAGAAAAGGCTTGTGTTGCCAACATAGTTACTAAATTTTTGACTTGGGGAATTATCTTTGAAAAAAAACAGACTTTAATTATCTTAAGCTTTGTGACTTCTGTTGAATCTTCAGATTTGTTCCAAGAAATTGAATAACTAATCAAACAAAAATAAAATAACGATATGATTGAATAATAGTAACGTACGTTGGATATCTTGTTCTCTACGACTTTGAGGCTTTACCAGTTCCATTGATGAGTGATGGAGTCCAGGAGTTGTAGGTCTTTTCTCTAAGGGATGATTTTCCTCTTCTGCTGACTTTGGTGAATCCCACCGACTGCGTCATTATTAAATATATCAATTTTATTTTCGAAAAAACTTGTGAACAATAAGTAATAACAGTTACCTACCTTCTGTTTTCTGTGATTCAGTATAAAATCTTTGAATGCCGAATGCCTCCTTGTAGTTGTACTTAAAAATTGCTTGCCAAAATCACAAATTGCTTCCATTCCATTGAACTGCACAGCACTTTTGATATTTCATTTCATGTATAGGACTTGTTAAAGCAAAAACATGTATGATGTCCGTTTCTAGGAAAATGTCACTATGTTAGAATTGGCACTCTTGCTAAGGTTATCATATAAATTTTGCCTAAAATTCATTCATTTCTCAATTGCAAACATTTAAATCTAACTATTGATCCAGTTGTTGAATTAATGGTAAAATACTTTTCTTTAGAATAAAAAACACTATTTTTCAACTTCAAGATAATATTATCTTTCTACCATTAATATCATGCCTTTTGTGAGCAAAACGAATAGAGAAAACTTAAAATAGTAGAGAATGAAGACAAAATGAATCAAGTCCAATAATAGAGACTTCAGAACAATATGGAGGTATATTCTTGAGACAGGTCTTAATCATGTATCTCACTTCGTTTAAAGTTGAAGTTGAGTAAAGGTGTCTCAATTTATAGAAGATTGATCAGTATTTAAAGCAATATAAGAGTAAATATTGAACTGTATGAGGATACAAATATTTTGCAGTTTCCCATCAGTATATCAACAAACAACGAATTTAATTTTGATTTACACGAGAAAAACCAGACGATAAATATTTTCTCCGCCATTTCAAGTGTCTTGTTTGCATTTTTCGTTCGTTGGCACTTTGCCAGACGATCCCCGATAAATATTCCGGGGGAAAAAATATGCTTTTGGACCGTTACGAAGTGAAACTCTAGGACAATATGATTAGAATTTTGTCCATTATAAATTGAAAAATGGGGTTTATCAAATAAAAAAAGTGCTGTTCAGCCTGTTCAGTCAAAAATCCAGTGGTTCTTCTTTATAAAGCAATTTTGCTTTCATTTTGAGGAACTGTAGTGAATCTATTCATCTAATAAATGTAATGTCCGCAGATATTTCAAGAAAAAAAAAAAAAACGACATAATGCGGAACTTTAAAATTATCACCGACAAAACTCTAATAGCGAAATTACAGTCATTATTACTAGAAAGGGGAAACGTAACCCTGACATAGATTTTGGTTGTGGTATCGATCAGCTTGAATAAACCCAAAAATAAATCAACTCCGAAAATATTCGCGGGCACGAAACAACCATATAGAAAATTTATTATTAGCTACATTAGCCGGAAATTGATTCCGCAACAATTGTTTTGGAATTAATTTCCTTATTTTTTTCAGGTTCTCTAACTGTCAACGTTAGTGTCCTTTTACTAAGTCTTGCATCACCGGACGAATCAAGTTTGGTAAGAATTTTTTTGAAGTATTTGAAAGAAAAAGATCTGTGGGTCGAGTCGCCAAAGGTTATGAACTAATTTCATGGCCAAATCAAAAATACATATTAACTCGACTTTTTTCAGAAATATGAAGTCGAATTTCTTCTTCAACAACAATGGTACGATCCACGTTTACGTTACTCGAACCAGAGCGAGTACAATTATTTGAACGCAATCCATCACCACGACGACATTTGGCTTCCCGATACGTATTTCATTATGCACGGGGATTTCAAGGATCCCTTAATTCCGGTGCATTTCAGCTTGAGGATCTACAGAAATGGCAGCGTCAATTATTTAATGAGGTAACATATAAAATCCATTAATGCAAAATTGAATATTATTTTATGCCGGTGGAAAATTTCGTTTACGCGCTCGGAATTATTAATTATTGTCTCGAAAACAATAGCTGTACGTTGCCCCGCCGGTTTATTTTTGTTGGGACCGCTCAATTTACTATGCATAATTATTATCAAGTGTTAATTGGATTTTTGTTTTTCAGGAGGCACTTGATACTGTCGTGCCAGGGGAGCTTAAATATATTCCCTTTCGACGATCCTAAGTGTACGTTTTCGATGGAGAGCAGTAAGTATATTATTTTAAATTTAATTGGCTTTGAATGAGCAGACGTCGGCATTCTCAAATTGATTTTGAGGCTGTTGTGGTTTTATTTTTTTGCTTTGAAATATCAATATTTCTTCAATCAGGTTAAATAGGAAAAAAAATAAGCTGTTTTCTATTTTCAAATCCCAGTGTAATATATTTTCTTTTTGTTTGCTTTGTAGCCACCGTTTGTCTAACTCTCTTGTTTCAAAAATGTCCTGATCTATTTCTGTTCCTCCTCTGCAAGAAAATCTTCCAGCTTTTCTCGACTCAAAGGGTCATTTTACTCATTCTCAACCGCCGTTTAATTTCTGCATCCACTAGAAACTTCACCATAGAGATTTCAAGCAACCAATGACTTATTCCGAATATCTCCCAAAAGCTGATTGAGGTGTATGCACCGAGCTCAATAAGCAACGATGAAGATTTTTTGAAGAATAATCAACAACTCCAGATCATTGGCGATCAGTCAATACTGAGTATAATCATCTATTCTTTTCTTATTATCGTCGATTGTGCGATTTCTGATGGCTATATAAACCAAACTAGAGCCCCACTCTCTTCCACAGCACACCACACCCTACACCCAGAGGCTGACAGCATTGTCTCTTTCTCTGTTCTCTCGCTCCTTCCTGCACGTCATGCGATCGGAAGATGCGTGCAGTTCAACCTGAACAGAAGTTATCGAAAACGAGAGATTGTAATAATGTCTGACAGCCAAGCAGCTATCAAAACATTGAGCTTCCCGGTCATCAATTCTAAGATAGTATGGAAACTTCTACAGAAACTCAATGACTTGGAAAGAGAAAATAAAGTAACTCTCCTCTGGGTTCTCTAACCCCTTTTGTTAACGAATTAACTAGAGGACAATAATATGCTCAGTTTGCTCAGCAAATAATTATTAGGAGTGGGTCAATGGTCATATGTAGGGGTGGTCCATTTAACTTGAGACAGTCTAATATCTCGAAAACGGTGCGTTTTTGAAAAAAAAAGTTTAAACAAAAGTTACATGGTATCATGGGGGAAACAAAATGGCGGCACTGATTTTTGACATTATTGACAACGTTTTCAAGGTTATTTTAAGGTCAACTCTTTTTTTTCCAATGGAAACGTATTTTTTTTATTACAGAATCTTATTCTACGGAAAAAACAAGTAACTTTTACTTGAAGCATAAAAAAGAACGAATCAATTTTTTTTATTTTCCTCCTCACAAAATCTCAAAGTAAAGATAGGTTACCATAGTAAAAAAACGACCTCAAAAACTATAACAATTGTTCAAAGTGATGTCCGCCAACTTCAACACACTTGTCAATTTGCTGTAAAAAGCTTTCATGGCACCAAATTAGAGTTTCTTTACTGACAGCTCTAAGCATTTCTTATGCGTTCCATCATATTTCCGGTGTTGTGAGAACCTCTTGATAAACTGTCTGTTTGATTTTTAAAGTGAATTGACAAGTGTATTGAGGTTGGCGGTCAAGAGTTGACTTTGAAATAACCTTGAGAACGTTGTCAAAGTCAAAAATCAGTGCCGCCATTTTGTTTCCCCTATGATACCATATAACTTTTGTTTGAACTTTTTTTTTCAAAAACGCACCGTTTTCGAGATATTAAACCGTCTCAAGTTAAATGGACCACCCTGTATAAATACAGAATGGCAAGGGGGACACTGAATTTGTGAAAATAAATAAATAATTGAATTACATAAAATATTGAAGTGTAAAAATTCAGAAACACACCTAAAAAAAAAAAATTAGCAAAAGGTAAATTGATAATTCTGAAAAGGAAATAAATAAGGCATACAACTCAACCAAATCTTGACATAGGTAAAACCAATAAAACACTCAAGTAATTTTCAAATCAAAATAGTATATATGTCCACGATGATATCAGATTCACAGTAAGTCAAGCAGTAAAATTTAAAAAGATAAAAGTAAGATATTAATGAAACTTTATACAAGCCTTAATTCCAACGAAAACGTTAGAGTAGGGTAGGCGTTCATTTTCTGTCACTTGACGAGGGTAGTTGCAGATGGAAATTGCAGATTCTAGATTTGAGTCAAGGTAAAATAGATAGAGGCTAGAAGTTCACAGCAGTGTTGCCAGAGGTGGTACAATTGTACCAGATTTGGTAACATTCGCTTTGAAAAAGTACGCTGGCATATTTGGTACAATTTTGAACTTTTTTATTTCTTCCAAATTCCCTATGACAGGACAAGGACAGGACCACGTTATCAGTTTTGAAACTTCAAGTCTAAGATCACATGGGCTTCTGCCGAGGTTTAACCGAACTCGCCTATGGTTTTGAATTTCTGAATGTAAATTCGTTATAACAATAATTTCTGATTCGTAAATAGATAGCGCCACCAATGTGACACTCGTTTTGTGATTCTTGGTTGACAGTTGACGTAGTTTGTGTTCAATTTCAGTTTGGGTTTTCACCAGTTTTCACTTATCATCAAATCAAAACAAAACGTGCTTTTATGCTACCAGATCAAAAATTTACGACGGCGCTGAGCTGCCATCGTAAAGCTAACTTTTTTTTCTAACATAATTTACAGTTGTATCTGTAAATTTACACTTCTATCTGTAAATTTACAGTTATATCTGTAAATTTACACTTCTAACTGTAAATTTACAGTTATATCTGTAAATTTACAGTTATATCTGTAAATTTACAGTTATATCTGTAAATTTACAGTTACATCTGTAAATTTACACTTCTAACTGTAAATTTACACTTCTATCTGTAAATTTACACTTCTATCTGTAAATTGACGATCAGCGTCGGTCAGCGTGGGACAGCGTCGGTTAGCGTCGGTCGGTGTCGGTCACTGTCGGTCATTATTGGTCGGTCTCGGTCAGTGTCGGTCATTGTCGGTCAGTGTCGGTCATTGTCGGTCAGTGTCGGTCATTGTCGGTCAGTGTCGGTCCGTTTCGGTCAGTGTCGGTCGGTGTTGGTCATTGTCCGTCAGTGTCCATCGGTGTCAGTTAGTGTCGGTCAGTGTCGGTCGGTGTCGATCAGTGTCGGTCGGTATCAGTGTCGGTCGGTATCAGTGTCGGTCGGTGTTGGTCAGTGTCGGTCAAGTCAGTGTCGGTCAAGTCAGTGTCGGTCAGAGTGGGTCATTGTCGGTCAGTGTGAGACTGTTGGTCAGGTCGGTGTCGTTCGGTTTCGGTCAGTGTCGGTCGGTGTCGACGCTAACTGACAATGATCGAAACTGACCGATACCGACCGACATTGACCAACACCGACCGAAACTGACCGACACCGACCGACACTGACCGACACCGACCGCCACTAACCGACACTGACCGACACTAACCGACATCGACCGATACTGACCGACTACGACCGACACCGATTGACTCCGACCGACACTGACCAACACCGACCCACACTGACACCGACGGACACTGACCGACACTGACCAACACCGACCGACAGTGACCGAAACGGACCGACACCGACCGACACTGGCCGACATCGACCGAAACTGTTCGACACTGACCGACACTAACCGACACCGACCGACACTGACCGACTCCGACCGACACTGACCGACTCCGACCGACACTGACCGACTCCGTCCGACACTGACCGACACTGACACCGACGGACACTGACCGACACTGACCAACACCGACCGACAGTGACCGAAACGGACCGACACCGACCGACACTGACCGACATCGACCGAAACTGTCCGACACTGACTGACACTGACTGACACTGACCGACTCTGACCGACACTGACGGACTCCGACCGACACTGACCCACACTGACCAACACTGACCGACACTGACACCGACGGACACTGAGCGACAATGACCCAACACCGACTGGCACTGACCGAAACAGACCCACATCGACCGACACTGACCGACACCGATCGACATTAACCGACATTGACCGACACCGACCGACGCTAACCGACGCTGACCTACGCTGACCGACGCTAACCGTAAATTTACAGATAGAAGTGTAAATTTACAGATATAACTGTAAATTTGTAAATTTACAGATATAAGTGTAAATTTACAGATATAAGTGTAAATTTACAGATATAAGTGTAAATTTACAGATAGAAGTGTAAATTTACAGATATAACTGTAAATTTACAGATATAACTGTAAATTTACAGTTAGAAGTGTAAATTTACAGATATAACTGTAAATTTACAGATAGAAGTGTAAATTTACAGATACAACTGTAAATTTACAGATAGAAGTGTATATTATGTTAGAAAAAAAAGTTAGCTTTTCGATGGCAGCTCAGCGCCGTCGTAAAAATTATCCAAACATTTTCAGAAAACGGATGCGCAATTATGAGCTGGTACATTTTTATTAAATGTTACGATTAGTATTTGATATTGGTACAAAAATTGTTTGCTCTCTGACAACACTGGTTCACAGTTTCCGTCAAAGGTGGAGGTACAGGTGCAGGGCCGTAGCGTCAAATTTGTGATAGGGCATGACAAATTTGACATTGGGCATACACTACTGGCCAACTTCCCCCCCCCCCTTTAATCTTTTTATAGGTGAACAAAATGGGGGTAATGGCGCCGAAGGCAAATTTTTCAATAAAAAACATCTCTGACAAGTAAACAAAATGGCGTTGATTCTTGCGCCGCCTTGAACCATTCGCACCAAAGATAATACACACTAAAGGCCGAAACATACGATTTTGCATAACGCATAAGCATAAGCTACAACCAATCACAGGTTGTATTAATAAAGGTCACTTGACTGTCAAGTGAAAATCAGGTGACCCTCAATACAACCTGTGATTGGTTGGGGCTTATACTTATGCGTTATGCAAAACCGTGTTTTTCGGTCTTAAGTACTACTACATAATAGCTGTGTAGATCAAATCTTAAGCCCCCCACCACGCCAAAGAACCAGTGTTGACGTAGGCAGCGTGTCGTTTCCCGCCCTAACGTAGGGTGTTTGCACCACAGGTAATGATTCCACGGGCTTTTGCTC